CCATGAGTCTTATGACTTTTATCACTACATTCTCAGCTGTTAGTGCCAAGATTAAACTTTCAGAAACATCTCAAGCATTTTGAATTAAGCTTGATGAAAACCACCAGCACATACTCTGCCTTCGGTACTGCTTTGTTCTTTGATTTTCTTTTTTTTTTTTTCTCTTTAAAAAAAAAGAAAATTTAAGGTCTTCTTCTATCTAAGTCAAATTTTACACATGTGCTTTTAAATCAAAAGCAATCATATATATGCCCCCATTTAAAACCATTTTGACTGCAGCACTTCTGCTTTCAGACAGAAAAAAACAAATACCTGTAAATACAGTCATGTTTTAAAAAAAAAGGAGAGTGAAATTATTTTAAGTGCAGTGTCCTAGTGACAGCAAGCAGCCTTCCACTTTTAATCTGTTTATAATGCTTAGTTTGAAAGCAAATTATTAGAAAAAATACATTCAACATATAAGATCTTAATATATATGTGTGTGTATATAAATCTGCTATATAACAGATTAAAAGTGTAAAACCATAGACTATGAGGAGGTCATCACTTACAAGAATTCCATAATGAGATTAATTAAAGAATTACAGCTGCAGTAAAAGGAGGGCAGATGAAATTAGAAACAAATTATTTTGTTTAAAATCTTCCTCAGTTATTTCAACCACCCTTGGTGAAAGTGGCAAGGGAAAAAAGAAACTCTCACATAAAACTGATTAATTCCTTACATTTTACAGGTATGAATTCTCCTAAATAAACCACAGAGATGCAGTCTTTAAGAAATCCATTAGCTATTCAGACTATGCCTTTTCCTAATCCAACCTTACTACCTGCAGTAATTTTAAATATTATCTTAAGCCTAGTGTAAGATTTCCCATTTATAAATATATCCTCTTTTCAAGATTTTCTTTGGGAAACAGCTCAGTCCTACCAACATGCACGTGGCTGTAACTTCATTAGGATGTTTATGGAATGAATCTAAAGAAATTTCACAGTGTAGCCATTTTTTTTCTGGGTTCTGAATTTAACCTTTTTCTCTTCTCCAACTGATTCTGCTTTGATGTGATATGACTGCATACAGGCATCCTTCAAAAGAATGCAGACTGGATTTCTCCTGTTCAGTTTAATTTCAGTTTAACCAAGCTTTTGAGTCCCTCCTCATGGTTCAGGTGGAGCCATCACAGCTGCAGCAGGAGTGAGTGACTGCATTTCTTTGCTCCTTGACCCTGTGCATCTGTTCCTGCTCTAGCACCAGAAATATGCAGTCTGTTCTCCCTTTATCTCATTCATATTTGCAAGGATTTTCCAGACCACCTCCATTTTGAGTTCTTCAGAGTATTGCTGGATGCATCTTCCCAAGGAGAAGATTATTGCCATGAAAGAAGAATTTTTTAAATCTCTGCAGATAGGTAAGTAATAACTCCTACTGCCAAAGGAAAAATAGAGCTTGAAAACTGAATAGAATGTAAAAGAATATTCCCTCCTGTATCTGGAAATCACCCTCCTCACCTGCTGTGAAGATTACTTTCTGCCTTATTTTGATTTAAGTACATTTTCCACACACTGCGCCCTCTCTTACACAAGAGCCTTGCAAAGCCCAGGCTATGCTTGATTAATAAGACCTGCCAGCTAATAGGGTCACAATTGGTATTGTCATAAACCCAGGAATATTTTTTCCTTTACTGTTTTCCCTAAGAATACTGATTTTTAAAAACAACATTTCACCAATTTTGTGCAGGTAAGAGCAAGAAAAAATTCCCTTAGGACATAACACAGCTGAAAGTAATGTTTGTGTAACAGCAGCAATGTCTTTCCAACAGCAGAGAGGCAACCACTGCAATAGAGTGCCAGCAGTGTTTGGTCACATAAGTGATGAAGATTTTAGTGTTTTCATTAAAAAGTTTAAATATTTTTGAAATTCCTTTCATTGTAGGACAGACACTTTCATTTCCAGAGCTGTCCCATCAATACTAAATCTGCACAAAAGGGTGCTCAGAACCACAATATGCTATTCACTCACATCCTCTGGAGTTTAAGTTTTAATTAACTGCATTTTCTGTAGAAAGCAAACAATTCTTTAATTCTGTAAAAAATTGTGGAACAAATTTATGCCATCAGCTGTGCTATATTAGAGAAAATTCCTTCTCCCTTCAAGTCTAAAGCTGTGAGTCACTAAACTGAGTCTTTAGTGTTCTACTTATCTCTACATTTTCAGTCTGAAATTGTTCAGAGTAAGGACTGTCATACCTTAAATATAGATCATTTTGTGGAATGTAATTTTACACAGCAGTGGAGCAGTATAGCAAATAAAATGTCAGCCAAAAATGCTCTAGCTTTATGATCCTGGATACATGCTGAAGGAAACACACTTTTTTCTTTGCACTCAAAAAGAAATTTTGCCAGAACACGCATTAAAAGAGGTCAACAGTCCTGCAAGGTGCTATTAATGCATAAAGTAATTTTCATGCAGTTTCACACTTTCTATCCTAGAGCACTTTGCAAAACTAATAATAAAGAGTATAAAAGATGGGCTGAGGGAAGTCTAAAGAACTTCACAGGAGTAAAGAGGGAAGTATCTTCTTACTGTCTTTTTTTAAGTATCATATATAAACATACTTTCATAAAATCATGGTTTTACCTAGAACAGACCCTTGCAATAAGGTTTCATTGTGCTGAAATCCCAACAAAGCAGACTCTGCCTGTTAGCTCACATTAACTGAGTCTTTGGCTGATATTTCCATGGAAGGTATGCTGATCTTTCTAGTAGTGTCAATAGAATCACATTACTGCTCGAGTCATCATTTTCTAAGAGCTATTTGGCAGCTCACCATCCATCCCCTACAGTTAGATTCAACACTGTTTACAGATCTAATAAACAGAGTTAGCTATATACAAATTAAAGAGATCCTTCATTATTTTTTCTAATATGGTTAATTTCATAATAAAATGCTATATCTACTTAAAAATGCAACTTTTTCTTTTTTGACCATGAATCTTAATGCTTTATTTGTGATATCTGAGGTTTTAGTAACAATAAATTCTTTGTCTGCTTGATACAAAGAGTTCTGTGGTTTAATTAAAGGGGATTAATTGAATTAACCGAATTAATTAATTCAGTTAAACCAAATGCTTAGAAAGACAAGGTTAAAAAGTAGTAATGTTCTGCTATTCATTATTGTGTGAGTGTTCACAATCCACTCCAGCACAAAGTCAGCTGGTTTGGATAGTGAAAGCAGTTAAACTAACCTTGCTGACTTTACACTGGAATAGGGTTTAATGACACTAATAAACAGCAGGATAATGAGAGCAGAAAAAAGAGCAGCTGGAGCACTAACAAAATGAATTATGGCATCACAGCTGAGATTGATAATGAAAACCCCTGGACAGTAACTTCTCCAACTAGTACAGCTGTTTCCAAATAGCCATCTGCCTGGGCCCCAAGGCTATTTGATGTGGGGATACTCTTAAATGAACTTAGCAGAGCTCAGTTAAGAAATTACAGAAACATTGTGATAATATTGAAAGCTGATGTGGTATTAGCAATATAAACTTATACTGGTTGAAGAAAAAAAAATTGAAAAGTGGTAATTTTGCAACTTTTTTTGATGTGATGAAACAGCTGCGTGTCCTAGAGTCCTAAAATAAATTATTTGATGACAGGAAACCTCTGTGAGAGTGACTAAAAGGAAATTTGTTTTTCCTTTTGAAACAATTGGCAAAGGAAGTCTTATCACTACATAAGTCTCCAAAACAACTTAAGTATCGTTTATAGGAAGATTAAATTTCTTCAGACACACGAGGTCTTTACTCAATTCAACTGTCAAATGACACAGTCCACCCTTAACCCCTGTTTTTCTTCATTGCAGCATTCTGAGAATGGTTCACTTTGTCCTCTGAAAATGAACTTGTAATTTTCCCTTTTAAGATTTTAGATGCATGAAGACTGCAAACTATGACTGTGTAATCACATAATATTCATCCTTTGGCACACTGGTGTGTTGTGAATATACAGGTTTGTCTCTTAGAAGTGAGAAACATGAATATCTAACTTTTGCTAGTATCATGGACAATGGAATGTGAGAAAAAACATGCCTTGATGAGATGATAAAAATATTAACAAATTGAAAACTGAGTCCAAGCCACAAACATTAAATTGCAATCACTTAAAAGGCATTAGCAAGCCTGTGAGGTCAACCTCTATCATCATCTCCAGAAATGCAATTTTCCAACAATTAACACTGACAGAATTAACCATGTATTACAAAGAGAAAAATTCATCTTTTATGTTTTGAATTTATAATGAGAATAATTTTATTATAGGAAATTTGAATTCACTGTTTTCAGATACTTAAAGCCAGATATATCTGTGGTTTCTTTTAAACAGAAAAGATGCCTACATTTTTTAACCACGTCAACTCAAAATAAACTGTAGTAGAGAGTAAAGCCTTGCCCACAAACAGGACAAAAAAAAATACATTACAAAGCCAGAAGCAATCTGGCTTTATTTCTCTTGGCAGTTTTTTAGGTTGTTTGAGTTTGTTTTCTATTTTTTCTTTTTAGAACTGTACAGACCAAATTCTGCTGTAAATAACTACAGGAAAATGCCAATAGAATATTTATCAGATTGAAATTCCACAGTCCAGAAAAATTGTACTACAACCCATCTGGTAACAATCAGCTTTACACGATGAGTAGCTGGTAGGTGTCTAATCCTAACCTACAAAAAATACTGTGCCAGCAAATTGTCATAGTTTTCCAAAAGTATTGCATTTAAGCCCTATATTGTATTTTTCATTGCCACTTTCAGCTGCACAGGCAACTCAAGTAGAGTAAGCATTGACTGTAAAGAAACAGCCAAGCATTTCCACCAGACATTACCTTCTCTCTCAGGATTTGTGTTGTACTGTGTGCCCTATTTTTTTAGTACAACTCAAAGTATAAAAATTCAACACAATGTAAAAAACAAACCAACCAACCAACCAAAAAAATCCCACAACTTAACTCACCTTTGGCTTCCTGTTTAGCCCAGAATTTTCTCACCACATCATGAATGTACCTCTCCTCTCTCAGCTTCTTTTGCCACTTACGGAGCTCTTGTATTTCACTGTCACAACGAACCTGGGAAAGGGGAATCAGAAAAGAAAACTAAAATTATATACCTTTGTGTTATCCAGGATGAGGATACAAATTTTTTCACAAGGCTATGGCAGGGAAAATATGTGACAGCCATCCTGTTTGCTGGGCCTGAGGTAAAAGCAAAATCCCAGAGGTTTACAATTTTCAGCTTACACAGAAATAAAATCCACATAATTGACAAATCCAATTGAAAACATAAATATGTCTATTAGGGGATCACTTTGATTACCAAGGACTCCTGGGAATGAGATTGCAGTGAGATGCTAATTCTCTGAATTAATTAAAATTTAAAGCCTTATGCTGAAGGGTATTAGTGCCTTTAGAAAAGCATAACACTATAAAACCAACGCACTGACCAAAATAATAGAGCAGAAGAGGAGCATGAAGGGTCATGCAGAAGAAAATTTATTCCATCAACCTGATTCACACCTGCCATCAGCTGCAGATAGGCTGACTGGCAATCCCACCCACACAATTTTCACAAACTGGAGAGCCATTAATCTGTTATTTAAAGTAATTGGCCTGCATTACATGGTACCTATTCTTTGTCAGTCAATCACCCTGTGAAAGGCATAATTCTGCTTCCACACAAGAAAAAATACAACAAAGGCCTTGACTTCATTTAGATGTAAGCTGAATTTTTCTAGAATTGTTTCTGTACTGGTGTAGTTTCCACTAACATAGAAGTGAACTAGCTACTAGCTTTTACCACTTCCACTTGCTGTAAGCAGGATTTGATTAATTAGCAGAGTGTTGCCCATGGTTGGCATTCACACAATTGCTGCCTCCAGTGCACGAGATCCTGTCCAGAACAGCAGTGGAAAGGGACAGGCCAGCATTACCTTGGACACTGGGGATTATTCTCTTAGTCGTACTCAAATTGTAATAGAATTATTTTTAAAATGCATTTTTGGGGTTTGGAGCTTTTTCCTAAATGTCACATATAAAAATGCAATTCTGTTTCAGGACTACATTCAGAGAAGCTGAGGCTGCCCCATCCCTGGCAGTGTCCAAGGGCAGGCTGGATGGGGCTCTGAGCATCTGCTCTGGGGAAGGTGTCCCTGCCCATGGCACCGGGATGATCTATGGTGATGGAACTTGATCATCCTTAAGGTGCCTTCCAACCCAAACCATTCCATGATTCTAAGGTTCAGTGTCCCAGTAATCCAGTCTGAAGTGGAGCAACATGGTAGAAACAAGCAGCAATAAGTTCAGTTTCTCCTGGACACATTTTTGCTTGCAGGAAGATAATGACTTAGTTCCCTAGAAAATTTCTAAATCGAATTTTACATATTGTATTCTTACAGGATATGTGAAGAGTTTGTTCTGTGACCTGAACTCTATGATATGCTCTTCTCCATTACACTCTGCTTTTCTCCCACTTCACTGAGACACATACAGAGCAAAAGAGCACATCTTAGTTTTCCACTAGTTACAGAAAATCCCAAACCTTAAAGAAAACAGTTTCAATTATTTATCAAAAGTATTCTTTCCTCCCAGGATTTCTCCTCTGTGCTGCAGCTCAGAATGCAATAAACAGTAGCTGAACTCCCATAGCACTTTTCAATCCACTTAGGAGAAGATACCTTGCTATGTTTCAGACAGTGCACTGGCAGGGCAGAAATACAACACAAGGTTACCCAGTCAATAAAAACAGACAAGATTTTTGCTCAGAGACTTGTGATCAGATACACCTTAGAGCTCCAACAATATTCCATTATACTGATATAGTTCTGTTTTATCTTCTATAAAAGTTACAGGGGCTTCTTACAAGGTTTCTATGAATTTTTACCAAATTAAAGAAATTACAGCTACTAGTGACATCAGCTATACAAAAAAATATATATCTATAATGTTCTATTAAATTAATCAAATACTATTTTCAAACATAAAATATAATCCAAACACAGGACAATTTCTTTAGGCTTGCAAGAGACATTTTTTCTTTTATGCTGCCATGTATGCTTTTATAAGCCAAATAATTCCTAAATAATAAATGGAGTTTGTCTGCACAGGAAAGGATTAAGGAAATGCTTATGTGGCACAAGGATATAAATGACAGAAGTGCAAGAGGCAGGGAGATGGAGAAATTACTGCCTGTATATCTAAATATAAAATTTCTGAAAACATGATGTGTCCATTTACAATCTCAGCTGTGTAAGACCTGTATTTTGGCCCGTGACAGGGCCACAGCTGCCTCTGTATATTGAAAATAAAGACAATAATTCTTAACAGTTAAAAGATAAAAGGCAAGTATAGTAGCTTCTGTATAGTCTCCCTAAGCAAATAAAACAGTGGCAGTGCAGTGAAATACCCAGGGAAATGCAGAGTTCTGAGATAAAGGCAGAGTCAGACACTCAAATACTCCCAAGTCAGCATTAAATCCAAGCAGTAAAATGAGCTTCCAGAACAAAGTGTCTTTTTAGAAAGTGACCAGAAAAGGAAAAAATAACACAGATATGCCACCCACAGTAAAACAGGTGACAGGAATGTTACAAAATACCCTAACAAGTTCCAAATATGCTTAATAGCTTATAGTTCAGCATATTTATAATGCAGTTTAGCCTACTAAAAATGCCTTAGAAAGTTCTTCTGCTTTGAAACCAGAATACAATGCTAGCATGATGAAAAAGCCATGACTTAGCAGCAAAATCTCCAGGCAAATAAAGAGAGAGTCAAGAATCTCCAAACAACTGACGTGTGTCTCCTGCAGCCCAGCCCTGGAGGAGTCTTAGCTTTGAAGGGAGAGTTCACTCCTACACTTGCTGGAAATAACAGGGAATATTTGTGTGACCTTCTGGGTTTAAGCCTTTGCTGGTAGCCACAGCTTGCTGGAAAGCAAGATAAACTGTGATATAAACTTTATATAAACAGATATAAACTGAAATGGTTTTTATTTTATATTGTGATAGCGGAAGCACAACTGCACCTTGTGAGATACAAAGCAAAAATGGAGCATTTTTATCTTCAGCTTTTGCTCAAAGGATGTGTATAAAATAGCACTGAATATTTACATAATGCTGTCCAATTTCAACTCCAAGATATTACAAGATTTAGTTCAAACCCCCATGCTTTCACTGCTAGGTGAGAACATGTAGCACAGCAGATAAGGATAACACTAAAGGTTCACTCACAGACATCAGAGGAAATTCTATTAATGAAAAATTTCTGTTAGTCTGGAATAGTTATGTAAATTTTAAAGATTAAAAAGAGCCCATTAAAAAAAGAAGGCACCAAGCAAAGATTCTGCAGTACGGGGGTGAAGGAATAGATAATATTTTGCTGGAAAAGTGTCTGGAAAATTGACACCAAGCTGAATATTGCCTTGGCCTGTGACAGATGAATGGAACCTCAATAAAAAACGATGGTGGGAAGTGAAAAGGAAGAATTCTGATGACAGAGCTGTTTCAAGTCTTACTTGAGTGCTCCTCCTGGCCCTCAAGGAGCCCTCCCAGGATGATGTCCTCCTTTCTGTGATCTCCTCAGAGAACTCAGCAGCTCTATTTTCCACTGCTATTTGTTCTGGAATTCAGTTCTTAATTAAACTTGAAATAATTGTCAGAGTGCCCATCAATGTCTTTGTATGAAACATTGTAGCAAGGACTTGGTTGATGGCAGCCATTAATTATTACTACAACAATTAAACAAGTGTTTTTCTGAAATGTGCTGCAGATAAGGATGAATTTACTGTTTTGCTCATGCTTTATTTATCAGAGTTTTCAAGATTCTGTAGGTTTTTTCCCCCTTTACATAGAAAACCTTTATTGCCTGATCCATTTTTGCATTCTTTGCCATGTGTTTTTGATACTGGCATGCTCAGACAGCTAGTGGTAGCAGGAGTAAGTTAAGTATCAAGAGAAGACTGATGCTCAGTCCGTTATATAACTAGATAAACTCTACTGCCTGAATCAATATGGTCAAGAAAATACCTCAAAAAATTGTCTGAGTCCATAGAAGATGTGTCTGAGAAGACCAAGAATAAGGTACCTGTCTCTCCATCACACTGTCATGGTATCCATGTGCTCATGTTTAATTATCACAGTGTCAATTTTTATTTCAAAAGCAGTATTTCAAAATTCTGAATCCTCTTAGTTATAAAACAAGGTTTAATGAAAATCTTTAGCAAATAGTTTAAAATTTTGACACAAAAATATCTTTAGAATGCAAAAAGGCATTATTTGTTAGCATTCAGTTATTATCAGCTATTAACATTAATCAGTGTTAGCTGACTGAGCTATTTATTTTAAAAGCAAATAATCTGAATTCTTTGGCAATTTTTTATAATATACTTATCATTAATGTGATGAAATCCCATTTAAGCTTAGTGTTCTCTTAATCTGCAAGCCCTAGGATAACACACTGCCCTATGTAGAAATTTGGTACTAATGATTTTTATTTTATATTCTGATTGCAATTTTTAATTTTTAAAACCCCATGTTCTTTCACCTCAAATAAGGTAAAACATTAATAGCTAATTTTATAGCCTGAATTATTTTTTATGTCTCCTGCCTTTTACAGCTAGAATTTCTCTCTCATTTCTGGGAATTAGTTTAGAATGATAAATACCAGTGTGAAAATCCTGAAGTTCATCTGTGCAAGGAAGGATTGTGCCCTTCAGAAGCTTTCAGAGCAGCAGAAGATATCTGAGCAACCTTGCAGTGTTCAGCAAACAGAACTGTTATTGGATAATGGCTGCCCCCACTGTAAGGATGCCTGCAGGGACACTGTCACTGCTAATTAATGTTTGTGTCAATGCTGTCTCTGTATAAAAAAAGAAAAATAATGGGAAACAAACAAGCAGAAAGAGTCACAAAAATCCATCAGTCAAGAAGAACATTTCAAGGTATTTCATTGTCTTTGGCTGCACAGCACATTATGGGAGCCACTTATATATTCATGCTTGTTAAAAATAGTAGAGAACTTAACAGGGAGTGTTTTAAACTGATTGTTATTTAAAGAACACCTGACATCCAGAGATGTCTCACTGTCCATCACAACAAAATTGCTGCTATATCTGGAGGCTACTTAAAAGCTTAAGTTTTGATAAAGGAAGTCAAAGACATTTCTTCATCACCAAAGTCACCTGAATTTCAAGTCCATTTCTTCCCAAAGTGTGAAGGTATTAGAGCTTTAAAAAAAAATATTTGATAGAATTTTTTCAGGATTTTCAAAATAATTTATCTAGTACCCTAGGGTTAGCATGGCTGTTATCCTCCATAATAATAGCACTGGACAATTTTCTTTGTATTTTTTTTATGCACCTTGCTTTTCCCTCTTAAACTGGAATGGCACTAGTGCTGTGTTACTATTGAGCCTTACAACATCTGCTTGTCATTTTGTTTCCCTTTTCCTTGAAAAAGAGCCTTCATGCCTCTCATAAATCTCCCGTCTCATTCTTGGTCTCAATTCCTTGTCCTTCCTTTCTGGATGCTTTTATTTCTCAACAGACCTCCCCAATGCTCCTCATGCATCTCCACACTCACTCACACATCCCTGCATGAAGCAAAATAACACTCCATCCTTGAGAACTACCCAAAGCAACTTGGGCAACAACAGTTAAAGGAAGAAAATTGTTCAGTATTAATTGTACTTTGGAAAATTGAATTTCTGTGGATTTTTTCTGTTGCTGAGGAAAACAGTGAGATTACATCAGCATAAATGCCTGTGAAAAAATTGAAGTCACTAGGCATAAGGCAGAGCAACATCCAAAGCCAATGAACCATAGGGGTCTCAGCAGCTATTTATAGCATCCCCTACTTAAAATTTATGTAAGGATTTTCCCTGGGGCCTTCACAGTCCTACAGTTTTCAACATCAAGCACAATAATTATAGATTCCTCTTACCCGATAACCTCTCCAGAAGGACTGGATTAGAATGCTTGCTTCTTCTTCTGATAGAAGCAGAGATAGAGGAACTGGTGGTCTAGGACTTAAAAAAAAATAAATTTAACAGACAGCCTATAAATGTAAAACACCTTCTTCCCTAACAGTATATTTTATCAAAAAGAGAAAAGTTGTTCAGGAACCTGAAAGACACAAATTCTTACTGCTCTGAAAACAAAATGCACAAAGAATGTCTCCTTTACAAATATATTATTATACACACTACAAGAATTCCTTCTTAAAACAAGAATGTACAAATGGCACATCAAGCACAGTCATTTTTCTTACTCTTCTACATGTGCTTCAAACTGCCCCTATTATGGTAAGGTTTGGGGTGGCAGTGGGAGGTGGGCAAGGGAAGCACTCTGCCATTTGTAAAGCAGGGAAGGTTTTACTCTGTGTGTGTGCAACAATGAACAGACTTATATGTAAATGTTTATTACATTAAATATACAGAATATAAACATATCTTAGCACATTCATTTACATTATGGTGTCACTTTAAATTAAAACAGGCTGGAAAATAATGATTATCCTATCTGCATAGCATGAACCTATGTTTAGAAATGTCTAAACAAGTTCTTAAAGTGCTGAAATTTTACTTTTGATACCATGTGCACTTTCTTTTGCTGATATAAGAATGTAATACATTTATGAACTCAACCATTTTCAGCCCAATATATGGTAGCTTGAAAGCACATTTGGTGATTCTGTTGCTACCAATTTTAACGGGAACAAGCTAGTAATTAAATTCAGCCTTCACTAGCAAAACCTCAAATGACTATATCAAACCTTGCTTCCCAAAAGCCATTTTCTGTGGGTGTTGATTTATTTCTGAGATATAATGATAACAAAAAATATCAAAAAAACCCCATTCATTGGAAAGAACAAAACAAAATTTATTTCTATACTGTCTTTTATGGGAAATGTAATTTGCAGCCAAAGAACTAGAGTGTAATAGCACTGCAACTCATGAAAATACCAGTTCTAAAGAGAAGCCTTGGCACAGCATTGGAATGGCTGCCAAGAGCCACTCTCCCTGCATGGGGAACAGACTGAACACAGGCTTGACTTGGAAGAACACAACATGATGGATTTGGATGCAGCACCCACCTACAGACACACAGAGCCCAGGCAGGAACGTGATCTATAGTATTTATATTATAAAGACACTGCAAAGCCCATCAATAACAAGCCATTTATTTATGCAGCCTTATATTTTCTGGCTAAAATGCCGCAATATCTTTTGGAAATTTATTTATGGCATATTACAGGCCAAGCTTGGAGGCTTGACAGCTTACATTTTCCTTTCACTTAATTTCATTCATATTAGTCTCTGCCCTAGTAAGCTTCCTATGCTCTCTGACATCTTTCTCTTAGGGCTTGTCTTCACTGCAGGAGCATTTCAACTTGGAGCACAGCCTCAGCTCTTATCTAATGCTACACTGACTGCACTGGCTCAGCCTGTGTACTCAGCTAAATTGGTCTCATCATCATGTCAGCTGGGTTTTGGCCTACATTTATTTTAATGTGAACTAAAACCTTGGTCTGTTTGGAAAAAGTCGAAATAAGGCAAAAATAAAAAGCAGTCTCTCCATTGAGCTAAACTGTCTTAGCCCTGTGAACATTAATTAGCATTTCTCCTGCTCAGGGGAAATCAGAAGTGCTGGACAAGCAAGGCTTCCTGAGATAACAGCTTCTTATAATCAGACTTAAAAATCTGAAGCTGGACTGTGCTGGTTTCCCTGATAGGCTTTCATCCTCTGTTCTATTTTAGATCTTTTTGAAAACCAGAACTTAGGGAAAATCACAGGAAGACCTACATATTTTACAGCAGTTATATCAAAGCACTGAACTTTCTCTAGGAATAAGTACATCTCCAAAGAACAACTTGAGATTTCTCTTAGCCTGCAAGGTCAACTCTAGCATTTCTTTGCTTTCATTTTCAAATTATAAAAATGTCTAGCTTATAATCCAACACTAAAACTGAGAAAGCAATATAAAAAATCAAGCAAGAACAGGATTTCCTTTTTAGTAAGACAGTCACTGGCAGATATCAATCCTTTCAATGGCACAGCTTTAAAGACCAGATGTCATGCCAGGGCCAGTTTGGTCTAAGGGAATAAATGGAGAATATACACAATTGTCTGCAGGTCAAATAAAAATAGAATCTGAGCAGAAGCTATCACCCCTCAGCAGTCAAGGAGGGGAAGAGGAGTCTGTCATTTGTGGCAGAAGACAGCTGGAGGCCTGCAAGATGCAAACTGACAGTACAATGTACACAGACTGCATTCTGCTTATTTAGTCCTTGATTATGCACAATCTTAAAAACCCACATATGAATCAGTGATATCTATTTAGATATACGTATATTGCTTAACACAAGTTGCACCTGTAAAAGACCATTAAAAAAAGATTTTTCTTAAGTATTTTATTTTACCAAATCTTCATAAAGCAGACACTGACCAAAGTAAAATTCCAGAAACATGTTTCTTGCGTTCTCAGCAAACTTGTACAGATCTTGATTCTGTGAGATATTCACTACTCATATGACATTAGGAAAGGGGAATTTCACACCCAGAAGATACAAACCAGACTTGCATTAAATAAATGTAGGAGGCATTGAAAAAGGTTCTTAATGAAGACATGTATCAGATCTCCCTATGGACAGAAGATGGGGTTCTCAAAGAATTCTGAAAAGGGAGGAAGAGAGTCCTTCCATTTTCTTGTCTCCAAAACAGACAAAATTTCTTATTCCTCATAACAGAATCTAGAAACAGCTGCCTTCCTTAGGTCTTTCTTCTTACATGCCTATCCAAAGCCCCAGAAGTGTGCAATAATGAAAATGTATTGTTTTGATTCAAAATAAATGTCTCAAAAATCTCTTCTTATAAATACTAAGGTCATTTACCCAAAAAGCAGGAAAATGGTGGTTCATAAGCAGTCAGACACTGAAGTACTGATTCATCTGACCTGGTATTTAAAATCAATTACATATATTGATCAAATATTACAAAGGCACTGTATGAGACTCAGATTTCCAGGGAAATATTCCCATAGACACTTGACAAAAATACCCTGGAACATTTTCACAGGTCAAACAGAGTGTGAACTGAGACCTTTCTTTGTAACATTTTCAGTATTAATACAACTCTTCAATAGTCAGAAATAAATTCCTAATCATTTGTCTTCTTTTGCAACAATCTAAATGCACAAGAATAAGATTATTAGTATTTGAGAGAAAAAAATCCTTACAATATACAAGAAAACATTTTAGTGCATTATATGGAGAGTACATTTTTGAAGGATTGTAAATGTGAAAATAACCAAATTTTATCTTCTTAAAAAGGAACTGCAACCAAGTAGACATCTTAAAGTGTGACTCCTGCTAGTTGCAGGAGTCTGAACTCTTTGTCCAAATAAAAGCCCCTTTCTACTGTCAATAGTGAATTGAATTTAAAAATGTTATAAATACATTTGAGAGTGTTATCAAAGTGACCATAGTGATAATATGCATTCAACTGTTTAACACACACCAACTATTTATACACTTGCTTATCTATTTATAATGAAGAAAAGGCAAGACAGTGTGGAGCTAACATGAGCAAGTTGTTATGTGGGGAGGCAGAGTCATGTAACCAACAGGAGACTGAGGCAGAACAGGTGATTTGGAACCAGAATGTCACAGGAATTAGAGGAAGCACAGCAAGAAATCTTTGTAATGAGAACGTGCCAAAAAATAGCAGAGCAAGAATCTTTTGTCTTCAGTTCTGTCTGAAGATTTCAGTGGATTTCTCGCCTCAGCAGGCTCTCCTTGGGAGGACATGCCCACTTTAGGGCTCCAGCTCAGCTCTCCTGTGCTTGCATACTTGCCACATATTTTGGAAGTCACAAAGCATTGCCTCAGCTTTCTCTCTCCCAGGACCAATATTTATGCAGTCTGTGAGAGTGTCTGTGGGCCTGGACTGAAGGAAACCAAACATGGACCTGTTCCAAAGCCCGCTCATGTCAATGGGAAAATTCCCATCTATGTTTGTGTACTTCAGGTCAGACTTTGTATGCTGAAAACATGAAAAGCTTCCCTTAGTGCTCCAACATTAGGAAGATGTCACAAAGCACTTATAAGTTCTCTGTTTTCTCACTGCTATTTTGACAATCTTTACATAAATTAAAGCATTTTTAATGCAGCAGATATTACAGCCATAACACCTTCAACCCCATAGAGCAACAATACAAAATATAAATATTTTACACAGAAAATTTCTGCAGTCTTTCAACACACAGTTTTTAGTAAAAAGTCTCTCCTTTGTTACCCTGAATTTTGCCACATTACTTGAATGGCAATTTTTATTTGGAAACACAGAGAATAACATCCACAGAGATGTATTTGTTGGATTTCCTGTTATTACAATAAATTGTTATTTAAAGCTCAAATTATTAAAGAAACTTAAAGAAGAACATATAAGGCAAACCAAGCATACTCCAAACACGCTGGATTAGACACAAAGCAATGAAATATAGCAGTGTGCAGAAAGCACAGCCTGTAGAAACTGGGCATATTATGGAAAGAAAAAAAATCAGTCACCCGTGCAAAATTACCCCTATTGGCCATCTGAGAGCTGACAATGAAGTCAACTGTAAAGGCAGCTGAGACAAGCAGACTTCACCCAATTAAAATATCTGGGGGAGGGAGAAAAAATAATCAATGTGTATATATGTGTATACAGATATTTGGCAAAAAGCCACTACTCCAAATTTAGTCATGGTTTATATCTTAGCTGCCCACTTCAGTAAAGCCATGATAAAGTTATTTTCTCTGTGTCTGTACACTTGTTTTGGTACACATAAGTAGATTAAAACAGGAAATGTGTCCTGCTGAACTGGGTAGCAAGTAAATATCTCTAATAAAAAAAAAAAAGAAAATGTAGATTAAAAAAATCTTGTGAATTATTTTTTATCTGAACTTCAAAAGCCAGGAAACGCTTGTTCCTCACATAGGTGCATATACCATATACCAGTCTCTCTCACTGAATGTAAGGTCCAGGGTTATGCTGAACAATGCTATCATATTATTAAATTTACATTACAGGTTTTTATATCACTGTTTTTCAGGGCAAGGGAACAGTGTTTTATTGGTTTCTTCATATTTCTTTCATTAAAATGCTAAAGAAGGCTGGGAAATGATGCTGCCATGTTACTCAGACTATCTATGCCAGAAAAGTAAAATTTCAGAGGGACCAGAGCATAATCAGAGCTCACTGACTTTCCCTGGCCCTGATTCAGTACACAGAGCTTGGTTACTTGCAACTGAGCTTCAGTGCTGCTCAACCAGAAACACACTGCAAAATGCTGACAAAAGGCAACTGTGCTGCTCATTAGCATATTTATAGGATTACAAAACATCCCCAGCTCTCATTCTGTTTCTTCACCTGGTTCTATCAGCCTCAAAAGGAGGAGCAGGCACATCAGTTTGTACCCCACCAAACGTGGGCAGGTTCTGTGCTCAAACTCCCCTTTCCTGCCCTCTGAAAGGTGCAGCTGTCCTTTGAGGCAGCAGAAATGTCTGCCTTGTGATATGGAGATCACCAGTCAGCACTGAAGCTGCTCCTTCTACTGCTTTTGAAATCTGCTTGGGGAATTGAAGGTTCCCAAGGGATGGAATATTTTGTCAGCACTCCTGGTAACATGCAAACTCAGTGCCTATACTAAGATGTCACAGCAATTATTACACTAAAGCTGGAAACAAATTCAAATTTTACAAGCTCCTTCACCTACAAAAACTAGTTTTGGAAGGTACAAGGTTTGCATTTAAAATTCTGAAAACTGATGCAGCATTTAGGTCTCCTTATTAGGGAAAAGTAGGCTGCAAGATCTCATTTAGAAATGCATTGCACAGAAAATGAAGCTCATAAGACTGTGGATTTGACTATTCTTAAAAAAAAATAAAATTGAGCTTCAAAGAAGAAACTGGAGGCACTGGAGAAGAGCCAAAAAAGTCATACTCAAGTATGGAATATATTAAAAAAAGCTGGATCCCAGATAGAACAAAAACAATAGTCCTCTGGGGATTTTTGTGTTTTGGTGGTTTTCTAAGCTTTAAAACTGCTTGGCACTGATAAACCCATCTAAACAGTTGGGATGAGGATGCTTCCCATCAAAATTTCACCAGCACTTTTTATTATATTGTCTCTTATATATTCTTAATCTTATTAAAAAAAAATTAAACTCCTTTCAAAATAGAAATGGAAATGACAATAAAAAGCATAAAATCAATTACATTTTAAGTGTGATAGCTGGAAGGATATAATAATAAACTATTTATGACATATCCAGGACATAATAATAAATTCTCTTTTTTTATTCTTATTTAATATTGCAGCCTTTCACTTTGCTCAATAATGTTTACTTAAGAAGCAGCATTTTTTAACTCTGTAATTTTAGGATAAGATCACTAAAAGTAGTTATTTAATAATAATTTTAATAATTATTATTTTAAGAGCCTAGTTGTTTAGAGGATTTAAGATGAAGTGTATCAACTTAAGTGGGACTCTGACACTCCAGTGTCCTTGTGGAGCTGTCACTCTGTTATTTAGGAGCACCACCACTAACAGAAGCTGTGAGTCATCCAGGCTGTGATTCCACAGTGTATTTCTCTTGTTGGCAAAGCTGACTTAAGCAGTTCCTGCCACCACCTCTCTATCTTAGCAGCTCATTTGTTCTATTCACCTTGCCCTGAGCCCTTCATTTTAATCCCTTGTTTGTGCCAATACACAGGTTTGCCACTCCCCAAGGTGAAGCAGACTGGAGAAATGATCTGTTTTCAATAGCTGTACAAACCCTCCTGGCACATTTAGGCAGAGAAATTCCCTGCTCAGAGTAGGGCCCTGATCAGAATAACCAAGCACCCTACCAAACAGACAAGGTGGTGTCAGGGTGCCTACAAGCAGGGTGGGGTGAGAACAGGAGAGAGCAGGGAATCTTTTGTTAAGCTTTACCTCCAAGAGAAACGTCTGAGAACTGTGATCTTACAGATTTTAGCTTTGGTACAAACATCCATCCTCACAAACCTGCAGCACCAAAACAGCTGTACAGGCCAAGGGCTCTTCGTGTGCTGAAGAAAAGGTTACAACAACCAGGCTGCAGCTCCTGCTCACATTACAAAGCACCAAACCACAGCCTCAAATGGGCATCTTGTTGGCAAGGACTGTGTTTGACAGAATGAGGCAGATGTGTCCCTGCAGAGGCAGGTTTGAACAGCAAGTTGATGGCTGAAGGCACCAGAGCTGAGATGAAATGGGTCATTTTCCAAAGGGGTCTTGTACTTAGAAATGTCCTACACAGCTCTGACCACCTCTCAGGGAATCAGAAGTCACCCTTTTGACACAATTGCCAGCTTATCCACAAAGACCTGTACTAAGGAGCATTCCTCTTGCTCCATTGATGTCTCGAGGTTCCAAGTGTCACACGTCAAGAGTTCAAAAAAGCTCAATTTCCACTTACATCATGTAACAAAGTAAATGTATCTACAAAGATATTAATCTCTATATTTTCACCAATTACCAATCCAGATTCCAGTTAAGTTTTCAAATTGAAATTTTTCTTTAAAATCTGACCCCTGTTAGTTTCTTATTTCCTCACTGTGGACTAATCCTTTGCTTTTCTCACACAGCAGCTGTATTTAAAGTAAATGCAGTCTCAAGGACTGTAGCATTTCTCTCATAACTATTGTGCTGTTTGGTTCTAAGAAAACAACAAGGAATATATGATTGAGGCTGCCAAAAACAAGTGCTCGTTTCTCCAAGTCATGAATGTCTGCAGAAATGCATCCTGATGCCAAGGACTGTTACAGGTATTTCGAAAGCAGCTGCTTACAGTTAGAGAAGAATTTCTTGACTACACTCTCAAAGATTTCCATAGGAGAAAGCAGCACTGAAAAAATTGCTTTACTTCTTAGTACAAAGATGTTCATAGCACTACCAGTCTATTCAAATGTCCTTTATTCTACCATTAAAATGTTTAGGAATTTGAAATTAATTTATCTGTGAACAATTCTGGTACAAAATACCTTGTAAGTAATACAGTGGCCAGTTAAAAACTATCACACAGTTCTTTGTTGCACACAGTAAAGGGCATTTTTGAGGGCACAACTGCAACATATTGAGGCTCTATAACTTCTATGGGATAGTAAAAGAATAAAAGGAAAACAAATTATTCTGAGTACTGCAATAACTTACTGGTCCTTTAGCCAGTCCTTAACAAAAGGAATGGAAAACAATTCTGTGAATGACTCATCTTTCCTCTTTGGATTATTGCTAAAGAAAAAGGAAAACAACTCATATTAATTTAAATTTCAGCTATTCAATTTGCAAATTAGTGCCTTGGAATACTGAACATATACTTAGTAGCAAGAAACATGAATAACTTACTTGTATAACCACTCAGTTAGGAAATCAGTGGGAATAAATTTGGTTCTTTTTTCCTAAAGACAGAAGACAGTTTCAAATTATTTATTATTTTTGGATTGGTCAAATGTTTAAGATAAATTGACTGCTTTTATTAAATAAAATATAGAGTGCATTACTCTGTCTACTCTTCATTGCTACTGCCAACAGTCAGTGGCTCAGCCAAAATTTTAGAAATTTTGTGGAATGATTTCAAGACAAACTATGAGTGAGAACATTCTACATATATTATCTTGATATTTACTGCAGTATATCTAGAACAAAGTCCTCTGAATGGTGCTCTAAGTGGCAATGTCATTGTGAAGAAATTAACAGAACTCATTCAAACATGAAAATATGTCATAAATTCCTTGCCATTTTGTTTAAAGTTTATTATCATACTCAAAATACTTCATTTCTTCCACAACACAGAGGGAACATTGATTGGATATTGGCTCCTCCTGCATGGAACCAGCCTGAAGATGCAGTGAATACACACAGCAGAGTATTGTGTGGCTGCTCTGACTAAATCATCTCCTGGGTGGTGCAGGAAGGAAGACAAAACCAAAGGAAGGCTTTTGGCTGTCCACAGCCACAGAAACCATGGGCATTACAAAGAACCAGGTAAAAAGTTCAAAACCTGGAGCTTCACAGCAAAACTTTTGTGCCCTTTGCTCCCAGTTCTCAATCTTAACCAACAAAGAGAATTTTACAAAATGTTTTGCAGCAGGTTGGCCTTGGGCACTCATGCAGCCAGTAGCACAGCAAGTCATTCAGAGCCTGAATTTTGATAAAGCCAGAATGGATCAGGAAATCCTGTTTTTTAAGCATTTCCTCTGACATTCCATCTTGACAGATTGAATGGATAACTGATACAGGTGCTCATTCTGCTTATCACAAACCACAGTAACCATAATGTGGAGAATAGAACATGGAGTTCTATGGAATAACAGAAGAGCTTGATCAGTACCTTCAGAACCCCTGTGATATGAGATGTGCTCTGGATGCACAAAGTCACAGAGAACCCTAAAACACACTGAGCCCTGCAGCCCTGGGGCACCAAGTGCTTCATCACAACAGCAGCCACTGAGCTAAAAAAGCAAGCTGAGCTCCCATCCCAACACTTGCCCTGTCAAACAGGAGATTCAGCTCTAATAATTGTTTCTTAGGAAAAAAAATTCACACTGATCAAAAGCTTTTGTGAAACTGCCTAATGTCACAAAAGAGGCTGAAGTCTTGATTAAAATGTAAGAGGTTAAGATACTACCACTTGCTAAGGAAAATACAATAAACATAAAAATTGAAAAATTACTTCATTCTATGCATTATCCTCAGATGTGAACAGAGAGGGAGAAAAAATGTTCTGCATAGTGTAATTCTTTCAGTTGATGGTATATGTGATAATCTGGGGGTGAGGCACAGGTGAAGTGGAAGAGGAACATGGTGTGAGGTGCTGACTGCCAGGGGAGAGCTCAGGGCAGCCACACAACTGGGGATGGCAAGTGTGAAGTTCAGTGCTAGGCTGCAGGGCAGTCCTACAGGATACCCAGGAAAGCTTTTCATTTTCTAAGACAATCTTACCCTTGGTAGAAATACAGTCTGACTCCAACAGAAGAAAAAAAAAAGGAAAAAAAGGAAAAAAAAAAATAGAGAGCTTAAAAAAAAAAAGAAAGCAGAAGAACAGAAGATGAAATCATCATAAATCAATTATTAATCCTGAGCCATACATGCCTTTATCATCTGTTTTGTGACAACCAAAGCTTTGGGGTTCAGGTAGGGCTCCATTAAGTGCTTGGCTGGGAAGAAACAGCTCCTCATGCAGTTTTCACACTTATGCTGATACCAAATGCTGTTCCAAGAAGCCAAACACGTAAACTTTAAGAGACCAAAACCTTCACTGCAGAGCTTTCTATGAGTCACTTCAAATGTTAAATGGACAAACCCTGACTTGCACGGAGTCTGTAAGCAGAGTCTGATTGTGACTGTACAGCTATTCTCAATCACAGGATGAAAATGGGTCCCCCTACTTAGGGAATTGTTTCAGAGAATAAATTCTACACTTTGACAACAAAATTCGATTTAATCTAGCAGTTGTAATTTAATCTGTTTTAAGTAAATTGCTTTTCCTTTGCAATGGGAAAAAATGATCAGAACAGGGTTCTCAAAACAGCCAAAGGAATCAAATTCATCTTGTTTTATCCTTCTTAGGAGAGAGGAATTCAATCAAGCTGAATATTTTTTATTTTATTTTCTTTTCCAGGAAACAGTTTATTTTGCTAGTGAATTAAATCATTAGTTGCACAGCAGTCAACATTTATAAAGGGAAAAAATTACATAAATTGACCTGCCTTTGACACATTCCCCCTATGCTGCATGAATCAGGATAAAAAACAGGAAATATCTGTACAATGTGCATTGTTAACCTGCAGATGTGTTTATAAACTGTTTATATTCAGAATTCATTTTTCATTTTTCAGTTTAAATATGATGTGCTTGGTAATAATCATGAAAATATACTGGTGATCAGAAGATGGCAAAGTCATTAGGAAACCTTCTTCCATTCCCTTTCCCTGATCTATCATAATTTTAAATATATTCCATTACAGAGCCTGATACAGCTTCCTCCTTCTGTGATAGCTAACTAGAAAGAAAAGTCAGAGTTATTTTAATAAAAACATTTATACATTGTTCAGTTTAATGCTGAAAAATGAATGCATTAGTTGGTTCTCATGAAAGAAAAGATTTAAGAAAATAGTCTTTCCCCTGTAGGCATTTGACAGCAGATGGGGAAAAACACAGGAGAACTTATGTAGGAAAAAAAAAAATCAGTGAGGGAATACACTGGGCAACCTAATAGGTTTCTTTCATCTCTAATTTAAAAATGAAGTTTCTGCAGACTGCTCTCATATTTGTGTCAGTTTGAAGTCTGTACATATATCTATCAGCTGGTTTTTCTAGGCTTTAGCTTTTCAGATTTTTTGTATGCATCACATAATGCAAGAGAGTCTATTTTAAATTAAATGGATAAATTGTTATGTTTCTTTATCAGCTTTCAAAAAAGATCTTTCCTACACAAATTCCTGCTTCCAGCATAACCATTTCCCTTTCCTGACATCCCCATGTGATTGTACAATTCTTCCTCTCCAGACATGGATGCACCTTCTCTGGTCTCTCCCTTCAACTCCCCTGTTGGCTCCAGAATCTGATTTCCTTAACACAATTTCAATTGGTCAAAACCTTTCCTATTTAACTTTTCCTGCTCTTCTCATTCATCTTAATTTCCTTTCAAAACATGAAAACCTTTAGTCCCTCTCATCAAAATCCCACTCTTCATTGCCTCTCACCATTCCCTCTCTCTTCTCCTGGGCTCATTCCTCCCTTCTTCCAGTGCTTCTTCCATTTATCTTCCACTGGTTTATTCTGTACCACTGCCCTTTACAGGCCTTAGTGACTCATGTCTAGCCAGAATTCAAACCCAGTATTCTCTTCTCATCCTTCATCATTTCAGTTAGCTTCATCACAATTAATCTTCTTCATGTCCTATTGTCTCATGAATTCCATGAATCTTTTCAATCTTTGTTGTCCTCTTATTTTTGGATGCTCTATTCCAATGTGTTTATCACAAGATCCTTTCTCCCTGTTCCTACTTTGGGTTTGTAAGGACTCTGCTTTTGATCCTAAAATTCAGTTCAAGTTATTTCATTAGCCATTTTAACCCAAATTATAGCAATTGGGTTTTTTTCCCTCCAAATCTACATGGAACAACACATTTCTTACCAAACTGAAGGATAACAAAAAAATCACATATTTATGCCAGATAAGGAAACAGAATGTGCAAATTCAAGCACCTGGACAACAATGGAAAAGAACATAAATATTCAATTATATGGCAAGCATGAAGAGCTTGTTTTCCTAGTTATTGTTCAAAAGGAGGAAGAAATGAGGTCACAGTGGAAAACTATCACCTGACCTCAGCTTGCTTTCCTGAGCAGGGCATCTCTTCACATAAGTGGGTTTTCTATAATGACCAAATTCATGTAGAATGTAATCTGTCCTGAATTACTGGAGAAAATAACATTTAAAACCAGATCCAAAAAAACCCCCTGATATGTTATATCCTATTATTATGGATGGTTTTCTTGCAAAAGACCAAATTAAAAAAATACTGCTTGTGAAATAAAAGGCTGTAACTTCCTGCCAGTGATTTGAAATGAAAAATACAAACTAACCTCCAAACACTTCTCCTTCTCTACTTCATGCAGAAGTGCAGCCAGTCCTGGCAGGAGCACTGGGAAGATGTAAAACTCCAAGAATTCTCGAGGAGAACCTGAGCAAAACAGGAGAGCCTTCACTCACAGCTAAGCACTAGGATTTCACAAAACCAGCACCATTAGATATCCTAAAGTCAGTACCAGTGATTTTGTCAATACCATCACAGCTTGGACAAAGCAGATTCATTCCCTCCACAGACAGCCACTGGTCTGTCCTCACTTCTCAACAAACACAACACAAACTTGGGTAAATTTCAAACTAAATGTGCACCAAACTCAGTGTGCCTCAGAGATGTCAGATTCAGTTTTAAGTGAAGAAACTCAGACACCAGAAGCAGTTTAGTCACAGAAGTGAAAAGCTCTGTGAATTAATTTACCCTGACAGGAAGAAATTAGCCTGTGCTGAACTCAGTGCTGCTGCAGTTAGACCACTTTGGTATCTCATGCCCTTTACAATCTGCATTAGCAGAGTTAGTCATAAAACTGAATTTCTAGACAGAGGAAAAACCAAAGGTTATATTTTAGTGGTGCTGTGATTTCTTTGTCATAATTGCCAGATCCTTCAGAGGTTTTAACATGACTCCATGTACCCAACCTTTCCCCTCTCAGGGGGCTGTCTGGGCTGGCACCTCTCCCCATTCAGGCAATATTCAGGTTTTGGTGTGATCAGCAAAGATTAAATCATACAAATGCTCTCTTCTGGCAACACAGCTGAAACACTGAATTTATTCTCAGCTTTATACCTTTAATTAGTTAATATACTGCCAGAAAATGCTCATAATTGGGAGGACACTATTTATATAGAAGGCAAGGATAACACTGCTTCTGACTTGCACCAGGAATTCCTAATGAGCCAGAATTAATGGAAGGGAAGACAAAATGAAGGGCTAAAATGCATAATAAAAACACACTGCTGCTTGGGAAATTTATTATAAAGTATAGAAATTGATAAAAATGGAAGAACAAAACTTCAGAGCTGCTTCCATTCTTGTCTGTAATCAGATGGAAAAAGACAGAATTTTGACAGCAGTTTTCAAATTCAATTGTCTGCTTAGTCTATTGATCCTAGTTCTGCATTATTAAATCAGAGGAAGAAATGCCAACCATTTCTGGTTTAAGTGCCTAAATAAAAAGTCACTTATTCAGAAGAGCACAGAACTACCTTAGTAATGCATAATTTGATATTTCTTCCATTGATCAAGTGGCCAAGCTGGCTCTCTGATTTCAGACCAGAGGCCAAACCATGCAAATTCCACACAACAAAGGTGTTGGTGCTCTTAACACTCTAAATTAAATAAATTCCAAATCCTTGCCATATACAAGAGAAATAATCACAGCAGGGTTCAAGATAATATCCTGCTACTTACATTTTTTTGGATCAGGGGGGTCTCCAGGGGGAGTTTCCCCAAGTACAGGTGGCAGATATTGGGGTGTAGGGGCAGAAAAAAGTTGTTCCACAGGAATTTCTGCTTCCAAAGGCACCTGCTCAAAAGAAATGTATCCTGTCTAAATACCCCAAAAGACTAGACAAAAAACCCACAAACCAATTAATCAATTAATCAGAAAAAATTAGAAGGTCAGTTTAAAAATATGGATTTAGAATTTCTAATTCAAATATTGTATTATTTATGCACTATCTGTATACCTGAAAATATATTATTACACTTTAAAAACTTCTGCAGTTTCCAACACACTAAAATCATCCAAACCTAACAGAAGGTACATGACTCCCTTTTACAGAATATGGTAGTTATTACAATTTTAAAAATATTTTATCCATTGTAAGAAATAGTAATTATTTGTAAATTAATACTGGTAACATTTTCTGAATAAGTATTTTCCACTCATAAGCTTACATATCTCTTTCACACTGTTCAGAAGTCCTGACATTCACCTTTTACAGAAAATAAACTTTTCTTGTTAGCATTATGCAAGCAATTATTTGGAATATTACATTTGTTGGTTCAAATAAACTGTTTGAAAAATAATAATTTTGTTTTCATTTTATGAATGAGTCTACCCTGTGGGTACCTAATTTTCACATTTCATTGTTTAAAATATTTTCACTCCATCTCTATGAAGATTTTTACTTGAACTGTACTCACTGATTCTTCTTTTGATTCAGGATCTTGTTTTAATTGAGGATCATCTGAAATTTGAGGCTGTTCCTCTTCATGCTCTAAAAGTTTAAAAAAAGTGCAATATTTACCAGGAGACCCTAAAAATATATTTCTTTTCCTCCTAAAGCAACATTATTGTAAAAGGTACTTATTTAGGTTTGAAAAAACAAAAGTTTGTATGTAATATACACTTGTTTAACACGAAATCTAATGTTTTAAAACAAACAAGAACTTTAGACACTCTTGTCATGTCCTCTTGAGCTTTAAGTCAGGCGCAAGGTTCTCACTGACAAAAGAACCCTTTATTGAGAAAAAGGTACCAAAATAATAATTCAAAATATTTCAACATAGGTAGAATGCACTGAATTAACCATTGTTTTTACTAGCAGACAATACTTTTCTAGTTGACAATCTGCTTTTCATAGTGAATTACTCTATGAGCAATTAAATCCCACAAACATGGTTAACTATTACTGCCTCCAAAATGAAATGAAACTAAATTAAATTAATTAAAATAAAATAAACAAACAAAACTTCTGATAAACTAAAAGCTGTACATGACCTTCAAAGATACTGAGTGACTCAGGCTGAGAGAAATGAAGGACCAAGAGAAGGAGCTTGATCTGGGAACACCCACAGGTGCCACAGCACAGAGCGCTGAGAGCCCGGCCCAGCAGGTTCAGCTCCACCATCACAGCGGGGTTTAACGGCACCACCAAACCCATGGGTGCTGCAGGTGTTGGCTTGGAATAATTAGCCTAACCAAAAAATGGCCATTTTAGTGCAAAACGCCTACTTTGGGCATCATGAAGTACTGAGGGAAGAAAACCGCATTGGGGAGCTGCAGAATGCAGCGCTGCTCCCCCAGCTTTCCAATCTCAAGTGTTCCCAGACTTTGGGAGAAGCCCAGGGGCTTTGCTTTGGGATGGTGCTCTGAAAACAAGATATTCTGTATTAATTTAACGTTTTACCAGCCCTGACACATTCGCCTCTCTACTTTCCCGAGGAAATACCCAACTCCTGTGGGTACAGGATCACCCACACCGCACAAGGGCAGGGCAGAGGCCGTGCCACGGGCTCGCAGCAGCCGGGCTGCAGCACAAACACACACCAAGGGTGTCTGTGGGGAAGTCATGGCAATAAAAACAACATAAGGCCTATGAGCAGAACCGCTCGTGGCCCTGGTGCCGGTGTGCATCAGGGCGGCTGTGGGCGCTCTGTGGGGCGGGCACAGCCCCGCGCCCGGCGAGAGGAGCGGGCGGCCCCAGGCCAGGGCAGGCCGGACACGGGCAGGGCGGGGCCGGGGGCCTCGGAGCGGAGCCGGGACCGGGGCTCCCACCTGCGCCGTGCCCGCCCTCCGCCATGGCCGCGTCCCGATCGTCACCACGGCAACGGCTCCGGCAGCGCCCGCGCGGGGCCGGGCGGGGCGGGCACGGCGCGATCGCTTCCGGAGCGGCGGCGGGCCCTGCACGTGGCGCGGGAGGTGAGCGCCGCACGGCCCGGTACGGAACGGCATGGCACGGCATGGCACGGCATGGCACGGCAGGGACTGGCACGGCATAAGGACGGGCACGGCATGGCCCGGCACAGGGACCGGCACAGGGATTGGCCCCTCACGGCACGGCTCAGCCCCGCCGTCACAGCATCCCGTGCGGGCCGGGCCGGGCCGGGCCGGGCCGGGCCCGGGGCGGGACTCGGGCTGACACCCCCTCCCCTCCCCGCGGTGGCCGCGATGGGCCCGGACACACAGCGAGGGGGGCTGTGCTGGGCTCGGGGCTCTGTCCGCGGTTTGACAGCGTGCCTCATGGTGTTACTGCAAACCGAGCGGGAGTAATTGAGTTTCGCACTGAGTGGGTGCTAAAGGGTGCTGTGTTGTAATCAATTCGTTGGCATAGGTGTCCTGAGAAAAACGGAGAGCAAGAATAGGAAATCACAGATAGAAGGATAGTTAAGGTAATAATTCAGGTGCTTTGGAAGGGCCTTGTAATGCTGAGTGGGCAGTAAAGCGGTGTGAAGTTCACTGTTAAGTGAAAAGTCACAGGGATCTGGAAAACTAATTGTATTTGTGTATATATACACTAATTGTATTTGTGTATATATACACGAATTATATTTGTGTATATACACATGGATATGTTTTGCTGTTTAAAAAGGACATTTGGAGCATAGGTACTGAGACAGTGTTATACTCTGCTGCTGTGAAACAAATACAGCCTTACAAACTAAGGCAAGGTACACTAAGCAACATCATAAAAGAATCGCCCCATAAACAGTGTTTTCTGTATGTCATTATGTTCTGGTTCCCCATCATGGAAAGCAGACTGAAATTAGAGTGTGAGGGACAATGGGGGATCAGGAATGGTTTCAGAATAAAGGATGACCAAGTAGATTAGGACTTGCATTGTCTCTTTGAAGCAGTTCACTAACATTTTCATATCCTTTTTTAGTTCATTAACGTCTTCATATTCTTTTTTTAGAATGATAATAAAGAAAAAGAGAAAAGACATTCATGAGGAGCCTGTGCAGAAGAAGAAAAAGGTGAAGACTGTCATTGAAATTGAGGAAGATGTTAAAACTGTCATTAAAACTCAGGACATTGGCCGTCTCAAGAAAAAGAAGAAGAGCAGGAAAAAGGAAAATTTAAAAGATGAGTGCTTACACAAAGTGCAACCAAAGAATCATAAGAAAAATAAGAAGAAGAAAGCTGGCTCTGAATTACTCAGGGAAGATCATTTAGAAGGCTTTGTGAATAGAAAAGGTCATCTGGATTTACAACTTCAAGAGAAATCAGGGGAACAAATTAAAATATTCAAAAAGAAGAAAAAAAAAGTCCATTGTCATTTCTCCTTGGAGGATAATGAGAGTAGTGACGTGGAGCTTTCAAATCATTGCACAGATGGTACTAAGAAAAATAAATTATCATTTAAAAAAAAGAGGAAGAATACTGCTTTGGATTTGGAATTGGATGGTGAGGTAACAAAGAAAAAAAAGAAGAAATACAGTTTTTCATTAGAGGACATCCAGGACAGTGAACAAAGGCAATCTACAAAAGTCTGTAAAAACACCCACAAATACACTTCACAAAAAACAGTTTTTATGGGTGAGGACTATGACACAGGTAATGCCCAGAATGGTGGGGAAAGTTATGTAAGAAAGAAGAAAAAAAAAAAGAAAGATAAGTCTGACTGCTTTTTACCACTGGCAGCTAATGAGGACTGCATGCATCAAGGTCCTGGTAGCCCCAGTGCATTAAGTGACTCTAGAAAAAGGAAGAAACATAATTCCTGGGAATTTACATGGACAAGCAGAGAGGAAGAGGACAAAATTAAGAACTTTGGGTGTATCAAAGAGAGGAAGAAGAAGAAAAAAAAAGCTGTTTCTTCTTCAGCCTGTGAAGATAAGCAAGGCTGCAGTCACAGCATTCCTGATAAGCATCTCCCAGCACAGCAAGGAGTTGAGCTTGAGGAAGAAGAGCTGTCTGGAAGGAAACACAGGAAGAATTCCAAATATAATAACGAAGTCAGTAAGAAGAAAAAGAAGAAGATTAAGAAAAAGGAAAAGGAAACAACATACTCAGAAGTTTCTTCAAACAATGAGAGTGCTTCTAAAAGCCAAAAAGCACTACTAGAAAACAGTAAGAGCACAGAGAGTGAAATGGAGCGAGCTGGGTGTGTTACAGGGGACACTGTGGATGGGGCATTATGCAATAGCAATCCTGTGCTGTGTGACAGAAAAAGGAAAGGAAGGGAAAAAGTACCACCAGAGGACTCAGCTGAGGAGCCAGGTTCAAAAGCAGATGTGAAAAAGATCAAGACAGAACCCCCATGGAATGAGTCAGTGGTGAGTTGTGGAGAGGAGGGCAGCTTTGCTCCCTCCTGCAGAGGAACTGAAAGCCTTTGGGGCAGTTCCCTGCTCTGCTCTTGGTGACACTGAGGTCACTGAGGGTCCCCCTGGGTGGGGGGAGGTAGGACCAGCTGGTCTGTGTCAGCGTGGCACAGGATGTCACATTGAGCATGGCACAGCTCTCAGGATGGTATATTCAGCATGGCACAGCTCACAGGGTGGCACGTTCAGCATGGCACAGCTCACAGCGTGGCACGTTCAGCATGGCACAGCACTCAGGATGGTATATTCAGCATGGCACAGCTCATAGGATGGCACATGCAGCATGGCACAGCTCACAGCGTGGCACATTCAGCATGGATTTTTTCTTTATCTGATCAAAGTTATATTTTAAAGCTAAGGGTGCCAAAAGTTAGTACCTACATGCCCAACTTCTGTTATCATTGGGAATTAAGCTGTGAGATGCTCAGAAATCAATAGGTATCTATCTGTATTTGTACCTGCTTAAACTTGACTTTGACAATGGCACATTGCAGGTTACTAGGAGGTTGTTTTTATTCATGTAGGTAATGGAAACCTGCACTCCAGTTGCTCTCTATCAAGAATTTTGAATGCTTGGTTTATTTAAATGTCAAGCACTAGTTAAGAAGGTATCATTGAAGGTTTTTGCAAGGTATTTTTGAAGGTATTTTTTGAAGATTTTTGAAGGTATTTTTGAAGATTTTTTTTTTAAGGGTAGAGCAAACCATAGTGTGGGCTGCTTCTCAAGCTCCCTTCATGGTGTGCTGTGCTTTGTCATGCACTCAGATGCAGTTCCCTCAAGTTCTGTGGAAACCTGGCAGCTGCCTGGTGTCTAGTGCTAATAATTAAATTTAGATTCATGTGGAGACCCAGATACAGCTTTTTTCACAGGGCTTTGTGAGGGGAGTGTGTGTGCTTATCAGTCATGAGGTGAGCAGATGTTTGGGGCTTTCAAGTTGGATTTCTCCTTTTGACCTTTCAAAAGGACAGGGTGGTTTTATTGCTGGATATATTTTCTAATTAAATTGGCATTGCCTTTTTGAGATTGTTGGACATTATTTGGATTTTGCAGCTGCTTACATTGTGTAAGGGCAAGATAAGCCCTGCAATGACATGCAAACTTTCATGACCAGTTAATATGAAAACCACAGCAAATACTTTGCAAACTGTGGAGAAGGGAGTAGTGTGATGCATGTTTTGTTCCTCTTTCCCATAGGCAGCTCCTTTAATAATAAGAAACTACTCAAAAGAAAATCTGAATATTGAGAGGTCTGGGTTAATCAGCTCTAGCAAGTTCTAGTTCCTGCCAGGCCAAAAGACACTGCACTAATAATAATAATGTGGCTGATTGTGTGGTCTTGCATTTAAATGTGCCACAGTCTGAAATGTTTTAATCTACAGCATATCACACAAGGCTCTGCATGCCTTAAAAATCCTCTGTTGGGCTTGCCCTGCAAGTCAAAGAGCAGGTTTTAAGGACAATGTGAGTGATACCCAGTTAATATCAGTGCTTGGTGTTTTTCTGGTGGATGCCATTGCAGTCAGCTGGGGCAGTGAGGAGGATGAGCTCTCAGTTCACTGCTTTGATTTGTGTGCCAGCAGACAGCAGACCCCCACCACATGTGAGTGTGCTCCTTTTCCATGAGTTGGAGGCAGCTTGGCACCTCTCCATGGGGTAGTTTTTCCCACTCAGCAGGTCAGCACCGTGCTGGGAATGAGCAGGGATGGGGGTGTCCCTCCTTGCAGCTAAAAAGAACAAAATCTGCTGCAGTTGTTTGCAGAGTCCTGTCAGGACAGTTTACCTGCTTGTTTTAATAGATCTGAAAAGACAGTACCAGGCCATCTAGAAGGAAACTGGGGGTTGGTTTTGATTTCTTCTTTTCTTCCAAGAGCACGAGCTCTCCTTCCTGCAGACAGTGTTCTCCCATTGTTAATAGTGCATGTACTTGTGTGTGTGTATAAAAGGTAGCTTTGGAAAATGAGGTAAATCATTGATAGCTTTTAATAGAACTAAAGCCTCAAAAAAGTAACAGCAGGTTTTGCTGACAGAAGTATGTTACAAATCTTTTCCTTGTCGTTTCCCTGGCTGTTTCATGCTTGGTTTATTATGTTAGCTGTATCAATAGATCTTCCCTTTGGCCACTTTTTCCAGGCTGGTGTAAAGCTTATGGCTCTCATTTACCACTATCCTGGACTTATTACTCACCCTGTTGTACTGGATACCCCAAAAGCTTCTCCTGATTACAAATTTGGGAGAGAAAGGCTGGGGACAGTGGTTTAGGGGTGCCACTCACTGGGAGCAAAGCTGCAGAGGGGCTGCACTTTGTGGAGCTGTGATCAGGATCTGGTTGTGTGTGGCTCTGCCAGATTCACCTCCTGCCTTCCAGCCCATCCATTCCTTCTGGAGCTGCTGTGTCTCTCCCATCAGCTCCCTGTTCCTTGCTCTCAGCTGTGGCATCAGGAGCTGCTGGCTGCCATTGCAGGGGACAGTTCCTGTGTGAGCTCTGCCTCTCCTGTGCTCCTGGGGACCTTCATCCACAAGGGA